TCAGTTTTTAGAACCTTACAGAACTTGCAACACAAATAAATCAAATAAAGCGTTGAAGATTAGAGCTGTACAATAGAATAACATACAAAGAAAAGAAGGAGGAAAAATAAAGACGATATATGTTTGACAGGTGAAATAGAGCTAACCACACCAGAGCACCCGCCAACAACCCACGTGAAAAGTTTGATGTGAGTGTGTTAGCTTCTGTTTATTGGATCACCAACTATCCTTAGGATCGGATGATACAGAGAGAAAGATGGCATTTCTCTACTTGCATTTTTTGTACATTATAATGACCCTGTGTACGACATCCACCTGTCTAAGACAACCACTTTTTCCTCAAAATAAGGGTGGCTGTCTTGGACAATTTCAACTGTTTAATAACCCTATCTGTACGTCGTGTTTTACTATCGTATCCATACGCCGTGGGGAACTCTGTGCCACCACTTTCCAAAGAGGAAATTTACTCATTAATCTGATCCGTACGCTTTGCATTGCAATAGCAGTCTGTCAAAATGATTTTTTGAGAAATACTGAAAGTTTCAAAGAGACCTTCCCACTAGAAGTATTCTAAAATGTGAAGAATACAACCCTGGGGTACAAATAATAATAATAATAGTAATAATAAAAATAATAACGGATAGGGTGAAGGAACACTGACGACGACACGGACATTCATCACGTGAGATTGCGCGCATACCTTTGTCCAGAACTGAGACGTCTGGAACATGCTGTGTAGAGGGGAGTCCGGGGCCAGGACGCTGGTCTTGATGTGTCGCATCAGCTCCTCCCACTTCATGTACTCCTTGTATGCTTGGAAATACGCCTGGCCCTCCGATGTGGTCTGTGAACCAACAGAAACAGGTTTAGATTTAGTTTTAGTAAGAGTTGGGAGACAAAAACTACTCTATAGAATAAAAAGAAGCACTAAAACAAAAATGTTTTATAAACATAAATGTTTTATATATAGAGCAAGATCTCAAGATTTCCAACTGAGTAACAAAAAATTGTATAAAATATAAAGAGTAAAATCACAAGATGATATCTAAGTGAGTAAAAAACAAAAAAAATTTCAAATATATAAAGAGTAAAATCACAAGAAGATTTCCAACCCACTCACAGAGGCAAACCCAAGAAAGAGGATAATAGATATATATATATACTTTACTTTACTTTACTTTTCCGATCCAGCGGCCATTTGGGTTCTAGCCCTTCGGTCTGTCGATATGGCAACGAATTTGCAGGTTTTAAATATATATATATATATATATATACAGTGTACGATTTCTATCCTTCATCGTGAGACAAAAACACAGGCTCTCTCAGGCTTGCCAACTTCCTTTGTTTGTTTGTTTAGTATAGGGTTTTACGGCGCTCGCAACTGCATAAGGTCATATGAGCGCGCGGGACACACCTAATACTTTTTCGTTGGTAGGAAATTTTGAATTTTGCCCGGGTGGCGGCCGAAGCCTACTCTTATCGATTTTAGACCACCAAGGGATCTTTAACGTGCGCAACTTGCACACGGGCCCTCCGAGATTTTTCGCCCTTGTCCGAGAAGCCAACTTCCTCAAAACCCAGCCAGGGACACCATACATGATAACATCAGATTACTTTCTTTGCCATATTCGCCGAGGAGCCTGTGGCTTTTCTTCCCACCCACCCAGGTCTGTGATCTACCAGTAGTCCGGTGCATCTGACATTGAGATTTCCGAGCTGCAAGCTTTGTCTCTCACAGAAGTGGGGCAACGCACTAGGCAGGGACTGACTTCCATTTTACATTTTACATCAGATTACAAAATAATGAACAAAATTACACAAAATTACATCCAGAGAGGCTGGTTTTGGTACATGATAAGCTAAAAGTCACAGTGAAATCCTCGATAGTCGCTGGAAATTCCGGGAGACAGTTGGCAAGCCTACTCTTTTTTTTTTTTTATTCGGCAAAGTTTCAAACAGTTAAACCACACAATAAGTCACAGTGACATCCTTGACTGTTGAATCTAGGATAATCTCGGGAAATTAAGGAGTACTCTTTTTTTAAAAAGACAAAAAAATGTCGGCAAAGTTTCAAACTGTTAAACCACATCAAGTCACAGTGAAATCCTTGATTGTTCAATTCAGGATAGTCCAGGAAATTCGGGGAGACAGATGGAAAGCCTACTCTTTTTTTAAAAGAAAAAAAATGTCAGCAAAGTTTCAAATAGTTAAACCACACAATGAGCCACAGTGAAATCCTTGATTGTTGAATCCAGCATAGTCCCGGGAAATTCGGTGACAAGCCTACTCTTTTTTTTTTTAGAAAAAAAAAAAGAAGAAAAAAAAGGTCTGCAAAGTTTCAAACAGTTCAACCACACCAAAAGATCCTATGATACAAGATGGTTCTCTCAGCCAAAAAGTGTCCGCAGAATATGCGCACTGGTTCAGATGGTGCAGCAGACTTTGTTTTGAAGCTCTCTTTCGTTTTTCCAGAAGAAGAATAGGAATAGCACAGTTTGTTAACTTTCACTGTTATTGTTTTTCACACAAGTAGAGTAACTCTTATCGTAAAGTTTGCACTTTTTCGAAGAGGGCGCAACCAAATTTTGAGGACACTTTTTTAATGGGCTCAAAGAATGGAGTGAACTATCTTGTTATGTACGATCTTTGACCACACTAATAATAATAATAATAATAATAATAATAATATATAACATTTATATAGCCCATTTCCAAAAAAGTAGCTCAATGAGCTTTACATTGGAATACCCATTTTTCAAAAACCTTTCTTACTACTTCCTTTCTTCTCATGCAATAAATATTTACACACACAAACACACACACACACACACACACACACACACACACACACACACACACACAGACTATTTTCATTCAGACGCAGGCACAGAGCAACTATAATAAAAAGCAACGCTAAAAGCTTATGACGGATAGGCCTGTAGGAACAGAAAATGCTCAAGATGTCTTTTGAAGCTCTCGTACCGATTCAAAGGCAAAAGCGAGCCAGAGGATGTGGTTGTTCCTGTCCCTGCCTCCCTCGGCGTGGGCCGGCGCCTGGTGCTGGTAGATGGACAGACTGTTGGGCAGGTCTTGGCACTCCTTGATGGTCCCCAGGAGGTGCCGCAGTCGGTACATGCCTGAGGAGGGGGAGGGGGAGGGAGGGAGGGGATGGACGTTTGAGTCACCAGATGGTGGAATCAGGCTCTTGTCAGTTTTCGGCATATACGAAGTCATTTGTGTAATCTTAAAAGCTTCTTCATTTGTGTCACGACGCGGTGGAATAAGGCTCTCGTCAATTTTTAGGCATATGGAGTTATTGGTATCATTTTAAAAGCTCATTCATTTGTTTTGCTTTTAGTGATAAAAATACCCATGTATCTTGAATAGAAGTCGAGATATTTGGGATTGAAGGACGTAGGGGTAGCCTGGTTTCTGAGGTAAAATAAATGAGAAAATGGACGCCAAAATTTGGAAACTTCTATAGCTTGAGAGTCCTTGAAAATTGAAGTATTTTGTTCCCTTTATCAACGTTTTTCAGTAAATTTCAAATGTGAATGTTTTTTATATAAAAGGTGTTAAACCACCACAACAACAAATTTGACCAAAATCGCCAAACTGGAGGAAAAATGCCAGTTTCTTCTATTACATTATTTTGATGAGGCTTTGATGGCAAGGGTTTTTACTATATTATGAGCCTTGTGATGGCAAAGTGATAATGTACTGCTTTCAGACCTACGAGTCGGAACGTCTTAGCCAAGTTAGCAAAAACAGTCAAAAACACTCAAAGGGAATTCAGGCTTCAGAAACTGAACGCTACAGCTGATGTTTTAAGTTGCAACACAATAAGGTCATACAAGTGCCGAAGATTAGAGGTGTTACAAGAGAGTAACAAACAGACAAAAGAAGGAGGGGAGATAAAGACGATAGATGTTTGATAGGAAAGAAGGAGCAAACCACACCAGAGTACCCGCAAACCAGCCGATAGTATGTTTTCACCCATGTACACTCACAAGACGTTATGCAGTTGTGAGCCCCATAAAACTCTTATCAAACTGAAACTGCTTAAAATAATAACTTTTTTCTAGTGAAAATAACAAATTTAACTGGAAAACAAAAAAAAGAAAAACAAAACAACCACGGAAAAACGACATCATTGAAGGCTGATACCTGAGGGCAGACACTGAGCGCTCCCTTCCTTCACCAGATCGGTGCGGTTGGCGATGACGTGGCAGACAGTACACAGCTCACGAAGGTGCTTTCTGAACTGTGACTCGTTACTCATCTTCTTTGAGAAGTTGGGATCAAACACCACAGTGTCCTTTAAAGATCAAAGAAATAATAAGTAATTTAGATTAGAGCTATAAGTACATTATACAAACAGTCAAACCTGCTCTAAAAGCCACCTGTCCACACGACCAACAACCCCCCCCCCCCCCCCCAAATCCAACCTTTACCTTTAAAAATATATATATTACTAAGGCACGATATTCTAAGCGTCTATTTGTCTCATACAATGTTTCAGTTTCTATAGCGTTAGCCGTCATTGAAAATACCTAATGTCTCAGTTGCTAAAGTTCTATACATCGTCTCAGTTGCTAATGTTCTATACATCGTCTCAGTTGCTAATGTTCTATACATCGTCTCAGTTTCTACGACCCTTTACAGTGTCTCAGTTGCTAATGTTCCATACATCGTCTCAGTTTCTACGACCCTTTACAGTGTCTCAGTTGCTAATGTTCCATACATCGTCTCAGTTGCTAATGTTCTATACATCGTCTCAGTTGCTAATGTTCCATACATCGCCTCAGTTTCTACGACCCTTTACAGTGTCTCAGTTGCTAATGTTCCGTACATCGTCTCAGTTGCTAATGTTCCATACGCCGTCTCAGTTTCTACGCTCCCTTACATGGTCTCAGTTGCTAATGTTCCATATGTCGTCTCAGTTGCTAATGTTCCATATATCGTCTCAGTTGCTAAAGTTCCATACAATGTCTCTGTTGCTAATGTTCCATACGTCGTCTCAGTTTCTACGGTCCTTTACACTGTCTCAGTTGCTAATGTTCCATATATCGTTTCAGTTGCTACAGTTCCATACAATGTCTCTGTTGCTAATGTTCCATACGTCGTCTCAGTTTCTACGGTCCTTTACACTGTCTCAGTTGCTAATGTTCCTTATTACATCGTCTCAGTTGCTAATGTTCCATACATGGTCTCAGTTGCTAATGTTCCATATATCATCTCAGTTGCTAATGTTCCGTATATCGTCTCAGTTGCTAATGTTCCATACATGGTCTCAGTTGCTAACGTTCCATACATGGTCTCAGTTGCTAATGTTCCACACATCGTCTCAGTTTCTACGGTCTCTTACACTGTCTCAGTTGCTAATGTTCCATACATCATCTCAGTTGTTAATGTTCCATTCATGGTCTCAGTTGCTAATGTTCCATACATCGTCTCAGTTTCTACGGTTCCTTACATGGTCTCAGTTGCTAATGTTCCATACAACGTCTCCCATACGTTGTGTTAAGTTTCAAATGTCCAATACATTTTCTTAGTTTCTAACATCCCATACAGTGCCTTCGTTTCTACGGTGCTGACCTTGAGCTGATCCAGCACGTGTCCCTCGTCCTCCTCGCTGCGGTTGACGTGGCTGACGCCAAACACGACGTAGACGGTGGCCCCGAGCTCCATGAGAGGTCGGTCTTTGAGGTCGCCACACCTCTGCTCCTTGCACACGTTGTAGTTCTCGTCGGTGGATGTGCTCTTGGTCTTGCTCAAGTCATACAAGTGGTCTGCCGTTTCTGGGGAAGGCATGAGGTATACACACTGTACACACACACACAAGTGGGTTCACATGTCACTTAGGATAAACAAGTCTTATTTTTTTTTAGTAGTACGTGTTTTACGGTGCGAAGCTGCATGAGGTCATATGAGCGTGTGGCAAACAAGCTTAACACACACAAAAAAACTTTTAACATTTAGTAATGACCTTGATATCCTAACTGCTCTTTTTCTTTCTTTTTTTTTTGGGGGGGGGGGGGGGGGGGGGGGGGAGGAATATGGGGGTAGGATGTATTCCTAGAAAAAGGGAAATCTTACTCAAACCATGCAGAAGTAGAAAGCCTTATCCCACCACTAAATTAAAAATTGTTGGATTTGGATCAAAGGACGTTCAAGCAGAAACCAATACTTTCGCAGTTGCAAATTTCGGTTGCTACAAAAAGAGGCTGAAAGAAAAAGTTGCTGAAAAGCACAAACCTTTGAAGACAAACATTTTTTTAAGAGAAAAAAATTCTTCCATTCTGTCAGGTTAATTCATGACTAAATTTTAAAGTAATAAAAGGCTTGATTTTAATTTCTTCTGCTTTCTCAAACACAAAACACAAGAAAGGAAAAGAGAGCCAGGGACAAATCTCATGCTAAAGATTCCTTACAGCAGATTGCATCAAGCAAGGGGATCTAAAATCTTTTTAAAATTCCAAATTCTTACCCTACAATCATCACATAAAAAAAAAAAATCTTTAAAAAAAAAAGAGGAAACATCACGGGGAAAAAAACAGCAAACAAGCAAAAACAAAAATCTTCTCTTTTAAAAAGAGCTCAGCATGTGTTAAAATAAAACATATGTATCAACTGTTCAGAATAAAACTCTGCCGCATGCCATTTTGAAAAGTGGCGCGTGACAGAGTCAAGTCTTCCACATGCCATTTTGAAAAGTGGCGCATGACAGAGTTAAGTCTTCCACATGCCATTTTGAAAAGTGGCGCGTGACAGAGTCAAGTCTTACACATGCCATTTTGAAAAGTGGCGCATGACAGAGTCAAGTCTTACACATGCCATTTTGAAA